TTTTTTTTAACCTGAGCCAGCTACAGTAGTCTGTCAAATGCATCAACACGTGAGGTTCATGCAGCAACACCCTACAGGAAATAAGGAAATAGATAACTAATGAACCTTGTACTGTATCTATCTTTACTGAAATGAACTGTGGTCACTAGTGACCTATTTTCAGCAGAGACCAATTTTCTGCTCCTCACCGATGTGTGCTTTTCTGTGTGCTTTTTAATCTTCTGTCTTATGAAGAACAAGATTTTAAAGATATGCGCTTACTTGTGAAAACAAGGTTAGAGTACCCCTACACCACCACCAGCAGCAGTAAATGAATAAATATATTTATTTGTTATCTTTACATTGAGGACAGACGTATATTGCTGCATTTATTATATTTGCTGTCCCATCACATTCATTTCCGCTAGCACAACTCTCTTATCGGTCTTTGTGGGTTAGCTGAAATGTTAACAGAGCCTCAATATCACGGCCACGTTTTTAAAGGTGTTTTATTTTTTTGTTTTTCCTGCTTTTGTTTTTTTTTTTTTAATTTCTTCTTTTTCCAACCACAGATCTGATGTAATGTACATGATAATTTTTTTTCTCTCTTTCTTTGTAAATAAAACTAATTTTAAAATTTGGATAGCTTCTTGGGATTAAATGGTCACTCTTATACCCCTTTCACTGCAGGAAAATGGTTCAATACTGTTTCCAAATTCACATAATGACTTCAGTTTATTTTAGAGGGTATGTGTCTGCGTCTGTGCGCCTTTGGCAACTAAAGTCATGAACTGTTACATTCCTTGTGATGTTTGTGTGTGTGTGTGTGAGTGTGAGTGTGAGAGAATATGCCTTTCCTGCTTAGTAAAAAGGCTTCCACTTATTTGGCATAGAGCCTGTTTAGGAAGGGTGAGACTTAATGCTGAGAGTGCGCAACCCTAAAGCAGTATTAGCAGTAAGCTAGCACACCCACCGATTTCACCATGATTCACACTGGAAAAACTTAACATCCATTTTATTCCAACAAGGGACCGACTGTCAGGTCCCAACCAGTTTATTTTTGGCTAGAATGCTCTGAAGGCTTCAAGATTAGGTGTACAGCCAGTACTGAACCGGTTTCCTGTTAGTGGAAAAGGGGTAAAAGTTTACTTTGTGAATAGGATTCATGGAGAAGGTTGTATGAAGTCAATGCCTTGGATCTACTTGCTTCTGACACATTCAATTTTCACACAACATATCTTAATGAAATGCTGTATACCTCTGGACGCTAACATTTAGATAGTGGTGTGATGAGATCCAAGTATATATTGATGGCATTCGATATTTAAGTGGATGTTGTTTTGTCCTTTTTGTATAGGTGTATAATTTTTCTGTGTGCTTATTTATAATAAACTCTTTTAAAATAGGTCTACATTTGTCTTGGAAGGGTAATATTTAGCTTTTGTGTCATCTACAGACTGACTGTTTGACTAACCAACCCTCACTGACCCTATAAATACTGCTCTTTTTATAAAAATTAGTTGTACTTGCAAATACATGCTGATCCAATAAAGTTAAAGCACATGTACATCAATTCCTTATAAGCCTATTGCCGCATGTTAGATTTTTTTTGTCTGCCATGTATAGACTAAAATGACAGTGGAACAGCACTTTTATTTTTGAAACTGGGGAAAGTTCATTATACCCTTCTCAAAAAATAAATAAAGGAACACTTTATATCATATGTGTGGGGGAAAATCATGCTGGATTTCTATTTTAATATAGATTGGGTAATGTGTTAGGAACGAAAGGATCAACCTACAGAGGGCTGAATTCAAAGATACTCTTAAAATTAAAAGTACATTTTACTAAAATTTCACTGTAGCAACTTAGAATTGTACTCAGGAGTTAGACTGGACAGTCTAAGGTGCAACCTGGTGGCATTAGATAGACAGAAACGTAATGTCCCAGAGGAGTTCAGCTGGATTTAGATCAGGCGAACATGGGACCTGTCAATGTATTAATTCTTTCATCCTCCAGCAACTGCCTGCATACTCTCACCACATAAGGCCCAGCATTGTTGTGGACTCAGGAGGAACCCAGGAACAACTGAACCAACGTAGGGTCTTACAGTGGGTCCACAGATTTCAACCCGATACTTACTGGTAATCAGGGTGCCGTTGCCTAATCTGTAGCGGCCTTTGCTTCCATCCATGGACATGCCTCTCAAGACCATCACTGACCTACCACAAAACCGGTCGTGCTGAGCGATGGTGCAGGCAGCATAGCATTTTCCACAGCTTGTCCAGACCCTTTCATGTCTGTCACCTCTTTACATGTGTGAAAAGCACAAGGCAAAAGTGTTGTACTTTCAATTTCTGGTATTCTATGGCAAATGCCAATCAGGCTCCAAGGGGCTCAGCAGTGAGCACAGGGCCACCTAGAGGACATAGGACTAACTAAGAACCCTCTCTGTTATTTCCCTGACCACATACAGTAGGTTTAACTAATTTAATCCAACACTTTGATTAAAAAGTGTTCCTTTTGGTTTTTGAGTAGCGTCCACACCAAGCAACAATCCAAAGCAAATGCTGCCCGTCAGCTTTGAGTATGGAGCGAGGAATCCAGGTCATCGTAAAACATTTTTGTTATAATTCTGAAGTTTTAACTGTTGTTTCAATTTATAACTATTGGGATGTATGGAAAAATATGCCTACTGCTAAGTATGTGTGATGGACACGATGGGCAGTGGACTGAATAAGAAGTAAACATTTTTGTCCATTGAGCTGTATGAGACATGTCGCCCTTCATTTTCAATACATGGCCACACGTGCACAAATATATAATCATAGTCATGCAGATGAGTTTAAAAATTAATGCTTCGTTTCAAACACGATGGGGTACTACTTATTATCATGATTATCTATTTTTATTGCAGTTCTTTGCTCTATTTTCTCCTTTAAAAGTGTACCTCACACACAAGCTGAAACGCTACAGCTGTCAATATGAAAGAAAATAAAGCTACCATTAAAACAAGTTGTGCTATTGTCTACACAGATACATTTTAAAATGACAAAAACCATTCACTTAACTGCAGGAGGAATTCACACATCACCGCGATCCGTAAGAGTTAGAAGTACCTATATTTCACGTAGTAATGTAGGGCAAATTGAGCGGGTTACTGTGGCAACTGATGGTGCTCGGATCCCCGTTGCCGTGCACTGCGCATGCGGAGTAGTGTCGACACAGACTTTCGCAGACAGGAAGTGTGACCAACTTTTTCCACCATCCAGCCGTACCTCGGCTCTTTACATCACCCTTTCTCAAGTAATCTCATTACTTTCATCGCACACGTATATAAGCAGAGGAGTGTGCTTTACTTTTAGTTTCACCCTGGTTCCGTTTATAACAGCTTTCCTGTCCTCTCACAAACAAGCGTATGCCCCTTTAACTGAGAGAGAGGGGCCGCGCAGTCAGACCTGCGACCGTTTACAGGCTGAGCCTTCCCCTCGCTCCGGGATTCATTCATAAATAAGACATCGTTTCGGCGTGGAAAGGCTGACTTTCTCACTCGAGAGCACCGGATGCGAACAGCGAGCGGGAGTCAGACACTTTCGCCTCCGCGCTCGGCGAATGTGGATCGGGGGCACGGCTGACAGCGCAGAAGTGACTTTCCATGGCTGAGCCCCCTGCTGTTGAGTTCATGTGCGAGTCCGTCAGGAGGCAGCTTGACAAGCTAAGTGCGTTTAGACCAAGTCTCACCATGCTCGCTTCCCCGCACTGTTTCGTGATTTCTACGCGCTTCCTCTTCAGCCGGGGCAGCCTGCTTTAAATAGCTCGCCTCTTCCTTTCTTCTTCTGGTTTACTCTCTACACCCATCGGTCTATCTATATCTATACACATCTATTACTTCCAACAAATGACAGTACATCGGAGGAGGGGTGGACCTGACGTACCGATGGAGCAGTGAGTTATGGCAGCTAAAGAGGAACTGTATGCCAAAGTGACCCCGCGGAGACAGCGCCAGAACCGGCCGAACACCATCAAACATGGGTCCACTCTGGACGTACTGCTGTCCATGGGCTTCCCCAAGACCAGGGCGTGAGTATACGCAGCTTCACACACTGCTCACACCATTAAACGCTGTAGAGCTGACCATCAGCAGCCTGTCAAAGTTTTCCTTTATCTGCCTTTCGGCGTCAACATCAGCAGCATCTCTGCAGCTGGAAGGAGAGGCAGCGAGTCTGCTCAGCTGTGCGTGTTTATTGATACATATTATCGCCCGTGGGGTCTTCTCAGATGACTCCCGTAAAGAAAAATGCTACAGCAGCTTTACACAGTAGGATTTCGGCTTATCTATTGTGCCATGCGTTACTTTTTTTCTTTTCTTTCTGCGGTGCTGCAGAAAGTATTTAGTCCAACAATATGAACGCAAGCTACTCAATCTCAGCTAAAAAAGACAGCAACAATGACTTAAGCTCAAGTGTTGCCTCCCCAGCAAACCCAAGTACCTCAGTGCTGCTGTGCACGCACCTGTCCGTGTGTTGTTTGGTCTTCTTCCCACTGCTAGGGTAATAAAAAATGACAGGAGATGTTTAGTGCTGTCTGAGGCAGTCTTTTTTTTTTGCTTTTGTTTTTTTTTTTCAATGAGAAGCTGACCCCCTGGGCCTGTCCTGGATGTGCCTCTCAATACTTCTTTTCATTCATCCCTGAGCAAAGAAGTTGCCAGGAAACAAGCAGTACTGGCTTGTGATTGTAGTCTGTGGATTATGTAATTATACTGGAAAATGACAATGTGTGATCTGCTTACTACTATTGCACCCCCGCCCTCCCCCCCTCAAAAAAAAATCATATAAATAACACATTTTCTTATTAAAAAAAATGAGGGTTAATCAAAAGAAGGATGTGTTTATTGAAACCAGGAAAGAAGAGAAGTTTAAAAAATGGATGCGCAGCTTTGTTAGTGAGTAAAGTTATGAACATTTCTGTCGCTGAGCCTT